CTTGCAAATTACTTGAATGAGTGATTTCCTTCTCCTGAATCTATGCATATTGAAAGATGCTGCCTGACCCTGCTGCTTCACTAAAAAATTCTTCCTTAAGCAAACTGTCTGCTGGGCTGAAAAAATCTCCACAATAATCACTAAGTGTGGGAAAGAATTCAGTATATTCCCTCAATATTGCCAGAAATGTTTCTTGAAACTTTCTTGGAGATTTTGTTTCTTTTTTTTTCCCTATGCAAAGGAAAGAACAGCTTCTTTCTTTTTTCTATCTTTCATTTCTCTGAAGTTCCTAACAGGGAGGCTGGCTGCAAGGTGTCTGACTTGCATCTAAACTGGAACTGGGCAAAGACCACCCCTTGTTTTCAAACATTCCTATGAATAATCAGCATCCACTGGAAAGCACTTGATATTTTCTGTCTGAAAGCTGGGTTTGGGCAGCAGACGTGAAAGGTGGCTTATTCTACTGTTAGATTCTGCCAGCTGTCACTTCTGAATTAGAAATAAGCTAGAAACAGAAATTAGAAATCCGCCCAAATTTTCTAAATTATCTATGAATTAAAGTTAATCTGCATAGAAATATTGCTTATGTTTAATTTCTAAATTAATTTGCATCTAAACAACTGATAAAGCATCCAGACTGCACAGGTAAAGCAAATATCTGGTTAAACTTTACAAAGGCTTGTGAATATTTACTAAATGCTTACTTCACATCTTCTGTAGATTATGATGCAAATCAATTTAACAAACAAAAGGTATTATGGATCAGACTGCAAAGATTTGCAAATACTACCAGTAAACCAAAGGCTGAGCTAATACAGCTGTATCATAAACATTTACACTTTTGAGTGTCTTATCTGTCAAAGCTCTGTAGCTTGAACTTATGGTCATAAAAAAGTTCGCCCATCTCCTTTGTTAAACTTAAATTAAAGCTGACCTGATTATGAAGATGTGCTATCTCAGTCTTGTTGGGAGGACACACTGATTAGAAAGCCAGGGAATCCTCATTTCCATGCTGCAATGGTCTCTGCCCAGGAGTCCACTGATTAATTAATGAGTGTGTTTACCTGGGTGAGTTTGGGCAGGTTAGCCCCTGCACATAGCCTGGCTGCAAGGACAGTGACAGCTGCTGGAATGCAGCATCCCTGAACCTTAACGACAACCTAGCACAAGCATCACATGAAAATCCTTACCCAGCCATGGCAAGGTGTCACTTTTGGTCATGTCCACCTTAAATCATCATCTGCTCTTAAGCAGGAAAACTTAGAGCCCTTTACAGTGCATATTTGGATAAATAACATTGAAAGGTTAAAAATTATGTTTGTATGATCATGCAAGGAGTCAATACAAATGTGAAATACTTGTAGACATGTATATTCTATATCTATTTACTTAATAAACTAAAGTTTATTTATTTAGTATAAATATATAAATGATATAATATAAAGTATCTTTAAAGAAACTGAATGATGAAATCACATAATGTAGGTATATGGTGTTTCCTTAAAAGTATTTTTTTAAAGTATTGTCTCATGACAGTATTATGGCTAAGGAGTTTAATGGGGAAATTGATGTCTATGAATTTGGTAGTTTGGAAAACTTTGCATAGGTGAGATGATCTAGTCACTCATTTAGAACTGGGAATGGGTATATGTAAGATTCAAACAAAGTGATAAAACCCCAAAACCTCCAACCCCATTAAAATGGGGCTGAGAGTAAACTCATTGTAAGTGATGCTTTTCAAGTCTGTGAGGTGTGACAAGGTGATGATGTTGTTAGGAGATATACTGATAGCATCTGAGATAACATAAACCTACTGTAACTTCTTTGAAGGAACAAGGACTAAAACAGACCCAAGTACACTCAGGGGTGAGTGGAGAATTCTTGGTACAAGGTATAAACTACAGATTCTATCAAGGTATTCTAAAAAATATTTATTATGGCCATAGAGTGGGAAACTTAATAGGTTTTGATTTTGCCATTTTTGACAAACTCATTGGTGCTCCCAAGGGAGAACATGTCTTTCAGCAAGCTCTGCTAACAATGTTCTGAAGGAAATCCCTTTATGAGTTTCAGGAGCACTTAGGAGGAAGATCACTTTATTAGCAGCATGCTTTACTATTGAATGAATTGTACCTGGCAAGTGAGGAATTCTGTGATACTTAAGATTCCTTAATTCACACTATATCTGCTCCAGCTTATGGTGATGATGAGTGTTTTCTACATCTCAAAGACTTGCTGCAGTTATTTGGGGTGGGAGATTTGGATCTGTACAGAGTTACCTGTTGCTCCTATCTGCAAAACAAATGTTCATCTACCCCACCTCCAGCAAATCCATCTATATCAGTTCCTATGCTAATCTTTTAGATATAATTTAGGTTGAGGTCAGCCATTTTCATGTTATGCAAAACATAAAGAAAATGGCTTTGTGTTTTTTGGATTAAATGTAGAACAGCTGATTTTGAAAAGTCCAAGTATCAGTTGCTTCATGGCTCTAATTTGGAATGAAAACCAGAGTAAAGAAAAGTAAACTACACTCACAGCTTCAGAATATACTATATTAATCAATTTTCTGCATATCTAGAGGTTTTGCTTTCAGATTTTCCTTCTTCCTTGATTCTCTTCCAAGGAAAAACTGAAACCAAGGCAGTGGCAAGAGGTAGTTTTGAACACCAATACCTTTCCCAAAATATCATCTTTCATTAGAAGCTGCCGTGGTTGCAAAACAGTCTTGAAAACATGAACTAAGTGTAACCTGGGCAGAGATGTCTGCTTAAGCTTTCACAGAGTCTGAAATAATAGCTCTGAGAGATGTGAGCCTCATCTCAACAGGGTGTTCTCTCACATGCCTTCTATTTTAAACTTGAACTTTCTCTACTCTTCCTGCTCTTCCAGGCAGGCAAGGTTTAGTCACTGCATGCAGTCAATTTACTCCAGTGACAAGGCATGTATTTACTTTGGGAAAGAAACCCTACCTATTTTTTCTCCAATTATGATAAAATGAAATCTAAGGGACCCAATGGTCCTATCTGCCAAAAGAGACCCTAGTCCAGGAGTGGCTGGAATTGCATGGTAGGTCAGCTTGACAGGCCACCAGATTACTCCTCTGTCTGCAAAAGTGGCAAGCATCAGCAGCTTAAGAGAAGAGAGAAATAAACACACACTAGACTTATAAAATATTTACTGTAATTCAAAATACAGATTTACTGCAATACCAGGGTTTTTCCTGGGGGGGCGGGGGGAGGATTGGGGTTTTTTTGGTTTTTCTTCTTGTACACCTCAAATGGAAATTTTCCACAAGTAAAATGTCTCAATATTTGGATAATCAGCTGCTCCAAATTCAATATTGTTAAAATATTGGCCATTTTTTTTTTTTGCAGAAGAGACTTTCAAAATCTGTGTGCTTTGCAGTAGGTCTGGGGGGAGAGATGGAGGGCAGAAGGAAAGAAGGCAGAAGGACAGAGGCACATACATGACTGTGGTTGTGCCCCATATCCTTCCCCATGTGCTTCCTCTCCTTTTGGTTCTGTAACATCCCTGGGTGCTGGATACCTTGCTCTCCCCATCCCCTTGCTAGAGCAGACACGGGCATTGCTCCCTTCTCTCCTGGCTCTTTAGTCCAAACTGATCCCACCAGAGAAGTTCAATTTAACAGTGGGTGAATGAATGCTGCCTGCTGTGAGGGCCTCTCATGGTACACAAAAATACACATTTAACTTTTATTTTCCCTAAAAAACCCCTGAGCTACATGAAGCTACGTTGTTATATGTTAAGGATACAAAGCCCCAAGCAATTTTCATTTACTTCAGTGGGAGTTGCAAATACTGGCTGCTAAAACGTAGCCAAAAATTACCACAAAATGAGGCCTGGGAAAGCAAGTACTTGAAACCCAAGAAAATCCCCAAGCTAAGGTTACTGCTACAACATTCAGTTCTTTTTGTTGCACATCTATACAGTTTATTATTATTTAATCTATGTCCTGTGAGGTGTGTAGGATGTGCAATGAAGCCAAAACAATATTGGTTTGGAGAAGTTAATATTTGTAATTTCCTGACTTTTGAATATTTGATTTTTCAGCCCCAGTAATGCACTAATGCTGTTTTATGTGTTTAATATATAATTGGCTTGAATTTTTTTCATCTTTTCAACTGTTGATACGATGATTAGCTTCTAGAGGAAGAGTGAAAGAATGACGTTTTTTCTTTGGCCCAGTACCACAGAATCTATTTTATGCACTTTTTCATTGCAGTGTTACTATGTTGGTGAGGGAAACTTGGTGTAGGTGGGAATTTGGCTGCTCAGTAGCTCTCAGATGAATGAGACTTGGAAGCCTCTCAAGGACGGTGTTATTTTTATTTCCTTTCCAAACTCGAGGGAAGCACTCGAAGATTGAAAGCTTTTTATGTGTGTTTACAGGACGGTGGGTTTGCTCCAGCCGTCCCTGCTGCACCAGCTCTTCAGCAGTTTGGGATAGTATTTGTCCAGCACTCGATAAAACAAAACGCTAAGCAGATTACAGCAGGTTAAATTAACATTTATGACCTTTAGTACGAAAAGCTCCCCTTTCCTGCTGTGCATAAAGAACGTGAAAGGGCTGCTGCGGTGTGTCAGAGCACACAGGAGCCGGAGCCATCCCCTGAGGGCTTCAGCAGGGTGAAGGTGCCGCTGAGGGGGTCCCTCACGCCGCTCCCCGGGCGCTGCCCCGGCCCACCTGCCGGGCCTCGGCCGCACCTGCCGCGGAGGGCACGGGCCGCCCGCCGCCCCCGCCGGCCTCAGGTGACACCAGCCCCGCCGGCTCCCCGGGCCGCCGCGGAGCTTCCTGCTTCCCAGAAGGTGCCGGAGCGGCTGCAACAGGAACTGAGAGACGGGGGAGGAGGCGGTGCCGCCGCTCCGCCGCAGTCGCGGCCCGAGCCGGGGGAGCGGAGCGGAGCAGCCATGGGCCGCCGCCCGCCGCGGCGCTGAGCCGCCCCCGCCGCCCAGCGCTCCGCGGCCGGCGCTGCCCCTTCGCCCCCGCCGGGCGGGGCGCTTGTCCCTGGGGGCGCCGGGGCCGCCGCCGGGGCCCGCGATGTGACCATGGACAGCAGGTTCAAGTGAGTGCTGTGTGAGCGGGGCTGCGGGGCGCGGCGGGCCGGGCCGAGCCGAGCCCCCGCGGCGGGCAGGCGGCGAGCAGGCCCCGAGGCAGCCCCGGTCCGCCGGGCCCGGCGTGCGGCGGGCGGGGACGGGAGGAGGGGGAGCCCACCCGGCGGGAGCGTGCGAGGGGCCGGGCGCGCCCGCCGCGGCCGCTGAGTGACAGCGGGAAGGGCGGGCGGGAGGCGGCGGGGCCGGGGCCGGGGCGAGGCGGGACCCGCGGCGCGGGGGGAGCGGCGGCGCCCCCGACCCGGCCCGCGGCGGCGGGGAGGAGAAGGGGGCGGCCGCGGCCCCGCCGGCCGCTCTCCCGCCCCACGCCGCCTCCCGGCCCCGCGGCCGCCCCGGCATCGCTCGGCAGCCGCCGGCCCGGCCGGGCAGAGGCCCCGGCGCCGGTCGGGCTGTGCCCGCGGAACGGGGCCTGTGCGGGGCCGGCAGCGCGGTGCCGAGCCCGCCGGCCCGGCAGAGCTGCCCGCAGTGCCCCTGCCCGCCGCGGGCCGAGGCTGTTCCAGGCATCCCTCTAGAAGGTGGCAGAATTGTCAGGGCTGGGAGGGAGCTCTGCAGATCATCCCGTCCCCTCGCCGTGCCAAGCCAGGGTCATGTAGAGCAGGTGACACAGGAGCACTTCAGGTGGGTTTGGAACGTCTTCAGGGGAAGACTCCACGACCGTCCTTGGGCCTGTTCACTGCTCTGCCGCCCTCAGTGTACTTCCTCACGTTCAGGTGAAACTCCATGTGTTACAGCTTGTGACCACCCTTCTGCCATCACGGCATGGCAGGTGCAGGAGGGTTCCTTGGGTGTTTGGGAGCGCTGCTGTCCAGGCTGCTCTCCGGCAGCGGCCGCCTGCTCTGGTGTCATTGAAAGCGACAAGATGTTACACACGGCTTTCGGCAATTGACAAACAGCTTCGTGTCTATACGCGCTGAGCAGGCTGGCACCGCGGAGCTGGCAGGGAAACGAGAGACCAGAGACAGGCTCACAATTCTCACATTAGTTTGACACATTTTTGACACTTCTAAGCGTAGTGGGATGTGAAGAGTAAACTTAGAAGCATTTTCCTGCAAAAGCAGTTTTAGCGTACTACAGTGAAAGACAGAAGGCAGTATTACTTCAAAGACGCTTTTTGAGTGTAACTCATCTAGGAGTTGAGTTAGAAACACTCATTTGGTGATTGTAACACAAACTGATTCACATTAAAAAACCTCAACCTGAGAGGATGAACCCAAGGCCTAAGCTAGAGCAATGTCATGGGGAGATGTAAATTCTTTTAAATGAAGTAATTTTGTGGTTCAGTTTTCTAGGTGACTCAACCAAGCACAGCCTTATCAGTTTCATTCTGAACCTGCTCACCAGCCAGAGGAAAAATGGACAGTTTAACACCAGAGTAAATCTCCAATGTCCTGGATTTATGCTGTTGTAACTCAAACCAGAATTTAATCTCCTATACACAGGATCAGTAGATACAGGATTTCCCCCAAAAAAATGCTTTAAAATGCAAGGAAAAAGTGTGACATGGGCAGGTTATGTCTTCATAATCCAAATTGGACTATAACTGTGTATCTCAATGGATGATGGTGCTGAGGTCAGTGAAAGCATTAACTGAATCAATTAATTTGTGACAGCTGAGTTTTTCCCTGGCTCAGCCTTTGGATTTCATTCAATACTTTATTTAAAGAAACAACAATGTTTTAATTTGCTTTATGTGAAGCATCCTAGAAACCTGGAACCAAATAATGGTGTTTTTTTTTTTTTTTTCCCTCTGCCTAAATCTCCAGCTGATTTCAGTGGGAGTGTTACACAAGATAGGAGTTCTAGTGTGAGCCTTTTATGTGGTTAAATAGATAATTGATATGGGTGCGGTTATACCGCTTGTTTTTAATATAAATAGCAGTGTGCTTGGTAGGCAGAGAGGGGTGGATGGCATGGTAATGGCATTTAGACCTGTTTCAATGAATATGTAGTTTGGGATTAGGCTGAGTGTTAATTGCTGTTGGCACATGCAGTTTGTTATTATCATCAGGTGGAAGAGGCGCCGGCCGTCACACGCAGCTGCCCTTGATGGCTACTGCAGATAGGGAGGCACTCGATAAAACGAGTTCCTGGCTAGCTGGGGCTTGTGTCCATCCCCAGTCAGGGCACGCGTGTTGGCTCTCGCGCTGAATCACGCCTGAGGTTCAGCCTTTAGAGTCCCAGCTGGCCATCGATCGATACCTGGTGAAAGAGGAAGCCAAACGATTCTCGGCCTTGGGGTGGTAATCAGGCGCTTTTAAAGGATAGCGGCTAAACACAGGGAATCCAAATGGAAGTCTAATGATGGGCTATTCCCACGTAGTAGAAATAAGACATAGCTGTAGAAAAGGCTGCCTGTGACTTCATTAATATTGCAGATTGATTGATTGATAAGGAGCTTAATAGCTTTTTTCTCAACTGTTAGATGAGTTATGGAGTGACTTAAAAGCTATTTGATATATATATATATATATGTATATATAAGGCAGTGACAATATAATGTAAATAAATCACAAAGTTTAGCTTGTTTATCTTTCTTATTCCTTTCTTAAGGCCATATAAGGAAATGTGATGTTTTGGTTCTTCCTTAGAACTAATCTGAGTACTAATTTTGTTTTAATGATATTTTAATTCTATTTGTTATTCTGAAAAAATAACGGAAAGGATATAACAGTAGAAATAAGATCTGAAATATGTATGTGATAATCGATTGTGTTTGTTTCTTCCAGGGAAAATCCAGAACGTACCTTTGATTTGGTACTGAAAGTAAAATGCCAAGCTTCAGAAAACGAAGGTAATGCACTTTGCCTATGATATTTATGTAGAGAAATGAGAGCTGGAAAAAAATAATTGTCATCCCAATCTAGTGTTATTTTATACTTTGAATTGCTTTTGGACTGAGATTGTGTTAGAATGTACCTATGATTATTTTATTGCTTTTTAAAATCTATTACTTTGTAGTTGTGGGGTTTTGATTTAGCTGTTGTAAAAATATTTTTATTCTCTATGGTATATTTACACAACTTGGACTTTAAATGTGTTTTCTACTCTTAAAATGTTGATTTTTTGTAAGATTTAATTTTAGAAGAACAGCTGACTTCTGTCTATCAGGGGAATGTTACTTTTGATCCGTGTGAGAGAGCTAAAGTAAGTTATTTTCTGAAAAACAATAGGAGGAGACTTTCTTTGTACCTCATGTTTGGCAGCTGCCTTGGTTTGTTACACCATAAAAACAGCAATGAGAGCTGCCTTGAGCTTGTATCAGCCATCACTTTCACATCTCTATAAACATGAGGAAAAAGAGATGTAGTAGTGCGAGAGTGGTCTGAGAGAGACTTTTTTTTTTGCCTCTTGGGTAAAAAGAAGATGGGCTTTCCAGTACTGAAATTAAAGTGACCTCTTGAAAGTCCACTGCGGGAACTCGGTTCATGTTCTCATCTGAGGTTGCTGGCCTTACAAAAGCAAAGGGAGAGGAGGAGTCTTGTTGGGGTTGTATTGTAGTCATGTTAGTCTGTGACAGCTGTGTCTTAATCACAACTGTAAAAACAATAAACTGCATCTTAAAATAAACTATATTTCATATCCTACTGTACTAAAGGATACTATTTCCAGAGTTTACTACTTTAACAAGTAAGAGGCCTGTAGAAGCTTATAGCCCCAAACCATCCTTTTTTTTTTTTTTTTTTTTTTTAAATATATGTTTCAGACAGCATTACTGTTTGTGTGAGTTGTAGGAATGTGCCTAATGTGTTTGGGAAAAAAAAACATTTTTGTTGAAGCTAAACAGTTGCAGGTCTTCAGGTCTTTTATTTATTTTTGTAACCAGCCAGCATCCTCCAGTTTATCACCTGCTTTTTAGATTTGTTGTTGGTATTTGGCAAATCAGGTGGACTTTCCTAACTGATCATTGTTGTGGCTTGTATCACATAGCACTCTGCCTGTTTTTATATCCCTTTTACAGTTTTTGCCTTAGTGATTTCAGAGATGATGTCTGGGAATCCTGCTTAGCTACTTGACTTTGGGTCTGTTCCTCCTTGCATTGTGCTTTTAGTCTCAGCCCCCACCCAATATCCCTTCCTGGGGGCCTGTTCACATCTTGGCTTAGGCCCAGCTTCAGGCTACAAATCTTATTCCCTTTTTTTCCTTTCCCCCTGGAGAGCTAGACTGTTGGCAATCCTTCCAGGTCTTCATCTTGAAAGGTGTGGGCTTTTTCCTTCTGTGATCAGAACATGGATCTATATCCTTTTAACTCCTTTTATCTTCTGTTTGACTTCTCATTTTTCTTGTGCATCTTTCTGCCACTGCCGTCATAAGAAACCACTTCTCCTTGCGTGCAGCTCTGTGAAAGACTGCCTACACCTCAATTTTGGTCATAGGCACTTCCGTTGCCTCTCTTGGTTAGTAGTTTTGCTGTTTATCACTTGTTCTCTCTGGAGAGGAGCATCTTTAAGAAATCTGTGTGTCTCCTCACACTGTGACACAAATTAATGTGGGGACTGTGTTTGTGACTATATTGTGGTTGCGTTCTCTGCTGTTCCCCTTTTTGTCACGATCGCTTCTATGCTCTGAGGGCTCAGTTGCTCTTGGTTCATGGGGTGCCCAAAGATAGGAAGGAGGTTTCATACCAATAATTTTTTGGAGTCTGCAGTGTGTAACTGGCACGGGGCCTAGGGCATCTTCAGCTGGCCTGGAGCTTGTGTTGATTCTTGGATGCATCCACAGATCAGGACAAAAATACAGTCCCCTTTGCCAATCTAACAGTGCTGGCTGAATAGTCCAGTTACCATCCTGTTGTACTTGGTGACCCATCTGGGATTTGTTCTAATATCTTTTGTATCATATCTAGTTCAGATAACAAACACTCCAGTGAGGGCTTTACATCATATTTACATATGGTATTATGAGCACAGTGATGTATCAGATTAATATATCTGAATGTTAAAGTTATCTAAAGGAAATTCACAAGGGACAAAAGTGTATTCTCTTCACTGCCACTTTAGAAATGAAGCACAGGGCTTGTCATGCAAAACAGGGAGCTTTCAAGGTTGGTTTATTATAAGGCCTAACAAATTTGACAGTTACCCTGTATTGTAGGTCTTGCCTTTAAATAGATTTTCATGCTAGGATAATCTTTTGAATATATCATACTTGGAAAACACGATCCATTCACCTGGTTCTTTGCTCATGCCTCTTTCTTATGAAAGAGATTTGTGTTTAAATAGGGGCTTTCTCCCTCGCATCCCATCTGCTCCCTGTACTTGATCCTGAAGCTATGTCAGGACTGAATTTGTGACATCACTGTCACCAGTGTTGCCGTGGAAATATCACAGCCGCAAAATTATGATCTCCCTGCATGAGTGAGCAGCAGGAGGAGCTGACTTAGGATAGAGGAAGACCTTAATGTGACCCATGCATCCCTAAGCTTTTTCTTCTCAAGCTTTGCTGTAGTCTGTGTTCTCCTGTATTTTAATTTCCTGTGCCAATGTATAACTGTTCTAACAAATCAAAATGGAGGTGGCCTAACTGCACATGGAGCTCTTTCCAAGATGTTTTTGTGAGGATGGTAAATGCCTGCAACAATCTGACATGACTGAGAATTTTGCTGTTAAAATTGTTTAACACTTTTGGAAAAGTATTTTTTCATAACTTCTTAATTACAACATAGCTCTCCTCAAGGAATATCAGTTTTTCAGATGTTACATTGTCCTAGGACTGTTCCAACTGTAAAGGATCATACATACATGAAATTCAGCAGCATATAGTTTCTTATATGTGTTAAGAAGTTTGTTCTTCAGTTATTCCATTAATTATTTTCAACATAGATGTTTACATTGAGTAGAAACCGAAGAGATTTCATGTAAGTTAGTATGAATTTATCACTTCTTGTTTGGTAGGTAGCTCTTGAATTGGTTACAGGCTCAGTTGTGCTAGCATGTATTTATTTATAGGTGGATCAAAATTTTGTTTCCCACTGGATACATAGTTTCTGGATTTTTTGTGGTTTAAGAGTAGTTTACATGAATATTTGTTACTCTGTTTTAACCTACAGGAATGCACAGTAGCATTGCTAGAACAGTGATCTTCCACCCCTTTCCTCAGACAGGAGAGGGCAAAAAGGATACTCTCTACCTAAATATTCTCATAATTCCTTCAACAGTTCAGGATATGCGCTTACTGTATTTTCAGAGTAAATCTCCAAAGAGGAGACAAAACACTTAAGACCAACATGAGATTGTAGCCCAGATCATAACTTTGAGTCCTTTGCAGTGCTGAGGGTAGTAAACATCAATTAGTAGTTGATGTGACAGCTTTTACTTAGGAAAATTCATAACCCATTTCTCGCAAGACTTTGAGATGAATTAGCCTCTGTTCAGCAGAGTTTGCTAAGTGACTGGGACAGAAGTGCTAAGCTATTCTAACAGCCTGGTATTTGTTAATTGTGAATTTGGCTTGCAATGTGAGTAGCACCTTACAGAAAAGAGTTTTATACTACCTTCCAGGCAGTTGCATATTTTTGTAATTCTTTTCCGTGTTTTTCCTTAATGAACAGTGAACAAGAAATAGCAAAAATGTGTGCTCAATTTAATATCAGCAGTAGGCCTTCTGTATTAAATTTTCACTTACTGACCCATAGGGCAGCTTGATAACAGATCTTATCACAACTGTGGTGTTATTTTAAGGACAAGAATTGCTCTTCAGCTTTAGGGTGAGAAGTTTTTTGCACTTTGGGCTGAGTCACCCTTACTGGGTATCAGGAGTAAAGCAGTGGTTCAGTTGTCCTAAGTGCACAGTCTTACATAAGGCATTGCTCAACAGCTGCACCTACAGCAAGTTTACTCTTCTCCTGGCACTCTTCTGTCACTTGAAAATTACACTGCAGCTTGCATTGGGAGATGGGTTGGAGCCTAGGAATTAACTGAACAAAGCTGTCTGCAGCTTTTTTTTTTTTTTTGCCATCCTTCTATCATGAAAAGTAAATTGAGTTTCTGGAAGGTTGATGTTTCTGAACTTTTCTACAAGATGTGTCCAAATTAATAGTGCCATTTTAATTTCTGTGAGGAGTGTATATTTATCTGTGTATCTATGAGTGCACAAGCATGTACAGGTTGTGCATACACACCTCTAAGTCTGAACTGTGGGTTTGAATTAAATGGGCACAGATGAAGCTGGCAATTTCACTCAGTCTATAAATTTTATATCCTGTGTATTGGTTCTGTTAAAACTGGGTTGCAGATGCAAAAGGCAGTGCAGATGCAGTAGAAAAGCAATGTGCAACAGCTTCTCTGAACATAAAGCCTTCAGCATTTCTGTCCACAGTTTCCCGAGAAGATGACTCAGAGTGGTTTCAGTGTGGTTAAGAGGATGCTGTTTGCTACACCTTCTTTTTCTTTGATTATTGCACATTAAAAAAGCAACAGAAAGGCTCCTCGGAGGCTGCAGGTAAATCCAGAAAAATCAACCACTTTGTGGTTTGGGTCTAAAGCAGTCCTGACTGTTCAAGTTTGACTTGAAAACCCTTTTAAAGTGCTAGTTCGTTTTCTGTCCAGTCTAAGAACAATTGTTGGGACACCCTTGAAATTTGGTTGCTTTGTCTCTATTTCTGTTTTTAAATGCTAAGAAGTCTTATATAACTCTAGGACTAGATAATACGATTTCCAGAGAAGGTGTTAAATAGGTTGTGTTGAATTGCATTAATAACTCCTATAGTTTATTTTGCTTCTGCCAGAATGATAATAAAGCTTAGTGATGTGTGATCTCCAAATCTTTTTTATTTAAAGGGCCTTATAGTCATTA